AACTGTCGACTTTCCCTACCTTTAGAACAGAAGACAAATTTCAAAATCTCAAAGAAATTCTACTCAACTTATTTCTTTTCAGATATTAGAGTGGAGAGGAAAATTGAGCCAAAACAATCTAAACCAGTATCATTATTAAGGATATCAAAATAGAAATAAATAGCTTACAAGAAAGGCTAGAAATAAATATCAACGGGAGCAAAAGAAAATGGATCGACTCAATCTAGTACAGAATATATCTACTATGGGCACATTTCTAAACCTTAAACATGTATTAAACAGACAAAAGGAATTTGGATCACTGATTTTGTTTTAGAGTAGTCATGCAAAAACCCCAAATCACTCATGAACTGCAAAATGCCAGGGACTTCTATGGCACAGATTCTAGCAGAAACCAATTGATCTAGCCCCTTAGTTGAAAAAACGCTTTTCCCCCCTCTAATTCACTAAAAGACCAATCAAAGATTCCTAGGTGAAAAAATCAAACTTTATCTTGATTAGTATCACAGTATCACGGCACCCAAAAGTATCCATAAAACTACTTTATCCTGCTCAATGCTATGTCATTTTATGCTGATTCTGCAAGTCGGAGCCATTAACCTTCAATCTAAAGCGGAGTCCAACTTGTTTCGAATATTCTAAGTCTCCATAACAAGAACAAGAACCAAAAAACCCATATGCCGATAAGAAAGACCAATGCGGGAGAATCTGACTATCTCAACCAGAATCCTCCTAACGATATTCAAAATTCAAATAGCTTCAAGCTTGCTTCATTGAAATTACGATCACTTTCAATTTCTTTTGACCCAAAAAAAAGGTCGGATAGAAGAACTGACGAAAAGGGGAGATGATCCGGCGTAAGCAAGAACGAGATTAGCATTTCCTTCGCCTCTGTATATCCAATCCGACGCATCCTTCTCCTCCAGAATCATCTCCATGCTATCGACTTCAAGAGCTCCACACCTTCGGATTCTTCCATTTCCACAACGAATCAGGGAAAAAAATACAATAACTCGATGAAATCGGTATCAGAAACAAAAATGAAATGCTTAGAAAACCAAAAAAAAAATATGAAATGCTTACAGAATGTTGCCGAATCGAAATCGCTAGAGGAATTGGAGTGAGATCGAAGCCTCGAATACTGGAAATTGAAGGTGTAATCGAAGACGACGAAGAAAACGACCTGAATTTCTTCTTCTCTTCTTCTTCTTGCTCAAGTCTTCGTTTCAAGAGGGGGAGTTTTTGTGGACTTCCTCGGTGGTTTTCTTGTGCTGTAAAGTAAAAAGTTTTTCATAAAATATGCCACGTGGAGCTAACGTCGGCGCGTGTTAGCTTTATTTGGCACCATGCCACGTGTCTCTGCTGGGGGCACGTGTGAACTTGTTTACATGTGAAATTATCCTTCTAATTAAATTATTCCAAATAAACAAATTTGAAGAAAAATTTAAACCGGAATTGACGTGGTTTGCGGAAGTGTTAATGTGGCTTGTAAAAATCTATTCCGCAATGTCACGTCGATATCCACTTCAGAAATAGAGTGCCACGTCGACAAAAATTTAAAACCAAAGTTTAATTTAGAATGAACCGGAAAATCAAAACCGATTCGCTACGTACGAATTGCAATGAAATAACCCGGGTTTTAAATAGAAATTGCAATAAAATTATAAAATTGAATTTTTTTAGGGTTTTACTTTTAATAAAATAAAAGATCTTATTTAATAATAATAGAAAATCTCAAAAAATCGTATGAAGTTTGAGATAACTATCATATTTATTTTTTTGTCAAAGAACTATCATATTTATACTATAAAATTTTTTTACTTCCAAAATTTAGTATGCGTTATTATATGAATATTGATTATGCATAACCATGTATGCATCAAAAGTTATCTTTAGAAAATCAATACAAAAAATCCCAATTTATAACGTGGCCCGACGTTAAAATACTGTTAAATTGTTTATATATGATTAAATGTAAACCATCAAATATAAAATATGGAAAATAGTTCAGCACAAACTAATAGTCACACTAATAACTTCGGTGTTCGGTTCGGGTTTTGATAAGAAATGATTCGGTTTTTTTGGTTTTATAAAATGGATATCAATTGGTTATTATATTATATTCGATTTAAATCTAGTTCGGTTCGGTTTTGATTTTTATTAAAAATAAAAATGATCTTCATAAAAAAAAATCGATTTTTTCAAAATTTTTAAAATTTGATTCGATTCAGAAAATGTATTTTTTCTAAAATTAATACTGTTAAAAAAAAATAGACGATTCAGATTAAAAAAAATCATATTTTTTGGTTTGATTATAAAAAACCGAACCAAAACATCTATTCCTAATAAACCGAAGCCTACTAAATAACACGATTGTTCAAAGCATATAAATATAATAGATAGAGAGGTACTTTATGGGCCATCATCAGCCCAATCTCTAACAAATTGTGTAGATTCTTGGAATCTGGAATCCGTAGGCGCGTGACACTACGCGCTCCAGTACTGATGAGTGAGAAGACATAATGATTTTGAGCCGTTGATTTGTCAACGTGTTTTCCCTTTCCATAGGCACCACACCTACTGGACCGTTGGCATCTACATCCGTACAATTCAATTATACAATAATTACGATTTACTTTTTAAAATATTTAATGGATATTTGGTTGGAATATATAGAATCACTCAATTATATTTAAATAGAATTTTATATAAAAAATTGAATATTTTAAAATAAAAATTGAATTAATATTTAAAAAAATCCATTAAACAACACAACTTTTCAATTTTAACAAAAAAAAATCAAATTTTATTTTTTATCACATAAATATTAAATTTTTTAAATCAATCTAAAAAAAGACTAAACTTAATCTAAAAAATACAGAAAATTTTCTATTATTATAAAAAATATCAAATTTTTTTAGTAGTTTAAAAAAATATATAAACTTTGTACGATTATAAAAAAACTAAGTAAAATAATATGACGTGGTTACACCTCCTTCTGTCACATCATCCTTGTATCATGTCAGTCATTTTGTTTATTTTGATAATTACAGAAGAATTAAGTGTTTGTTTTGTCAACTTAAAAAATTTAATGTTTATTTGATAAAATAAAAGTCCAGTGTTTTTTTGTTAAAATTTGAAAATTGAATATTTTTTTTAAATTTTTATTATTTTAAAATATATTTTATAGAATTTGAATTGGAGTAATAAGTAAAGGGTTTTATACATCTGTTTGAATTTAACTTTTATTTTTCTAAATTTTAAGTTTTTTTGGTAATCTTGTAAATTGAAATTTCTTGAATAAGAAGATCTATAGAGTTTAATAATCAGATAAGGGTGTCAATAGAACATGAAGTATGAAATTCAGTCCGAAATCTATTCGAAAAATTAATGGGTTTGAATCTAATAATATAGACCTGATAAATAAATAGGCGGGTTGGTCCGACTCAAAAAAATTTAAACCCGAATCGAATCCGGTCCGAAACCCGACTGACCCACGTATTTAGCCCAAAAATATTTTTTTTTATTAGATTTCTAATTTTACTCAAGATCTCATACTACACAACATTATATAAAAATTTTTATTTATATGTTTCACACATATATATATATATATATATATTTATTTATTTCAAAAAAATTAGGTTACTATATATTAAAATTATATATATATATTATTGAATGGTTTGATTAGATTTTGGTTTATATATATATATATATATTATTGAATGGTTTGATTATTATTATTATTTATTTTTATTAAATAGAAAAAACCCAAAATCCGATTTGAATCCCTCCGAAGCCCTATAAGACGAGACTCCTATAGGCCCGAAAAATATATAGACAAGTCGATCCGATCCAAAAAAATCTAAATCCGAACTAAGTCCGACCCGAATCTGATCTGACCCGATCTACTGATATCACATTGAAAGAGGATGCAATAATACATAGTGATAGTTCCTTGATTTATCAAATGAAATTCTTTTGTTAAGATTTTTTTAACATTTCAATTTTCCAAAAAAAAATATGGCCTAGTAATTAGTGTTCAAATTATTGATCATATTTTATTTTTTTGCGTGAAATAGTGAGTTTTTTTTTATAAAAAGAAGAAAAATCTGAGGGTTGGCGGTGTTCTCGTGAGACGTTCACGAGGAATCAGACTTCAGAAGGATCGCAATATCAACCTCTGTCTCTTTGATCACACTACTCTTTCTCTGTTCTTCCCCTAAAATCAAAGGAAAGCTCTGTTGCTTCTCCTTTGTCTTCCCTTTTCCGGGAAAATTTTTCCACGGAAAGAAAGTTCACACTCGCTTTTCATTGCCATCTGGGTTTTAGCTGTTTCATTGTCGAATCGGCTTTCCAAAGTTTGGGCCTTTTTAACACCTTTCCTTTTTGCACGATCAAATCGAATCTAGGGTTTCATCCCTGTTCTTCTATTTTTTCTATAAAATAATCAAGCGTTGTCTTTTTTTTTTTTTTTCTGGAATCCCTTTTTCTTGATCTGGGTATTTCTAAATTTGATATACTGGGATCCCACGTATTTCCGCATCCCCACTTGCGTATCTCCTTCAAATCCTTTGATTTTAATATTCTTTTTAAGTTATAGAACCTGGGTTCCCTGTCTTTCTCTCCGTAAACAATGGAGTCCCACTGTTCAGCTTTGAAGCTTCATCGTATAAGTACCATTTGTCCGAACAAAGAAATGGTTTCTGACAGAGTAAGTTTGTTCTGGGGACAGAGTGTTGTGAAAGCTAACAATCTTAGGTCAAAAAAAGAAAGAAGAGGAGCTACAAAGTATCAGACAAATCTCGTTCGCTCTGTTTCTACACGAGGAGTTGATCAGAAAGCTAATGTAAGTAGTGCGAGTGAGAATTCCCAGTATGATCATTTCCAAAAGTTCCAGCTTTTTAGGGTCTCAGGATTCAGGAATCGCTTTTGCTTAAATCATCCACTCAGGGCTTCTGTTTTGCTGCTAAGAATTTAGAGAAATGAATGATAGTTCTTACGCCTGGAAGTATCATTTAGTGAGAATAGTATCAACATGTTATAAATGTGATGAAAGATGATTGAAGTAATGCCTGCTTGATTCAGAAGCTTTGCAATGTCAGGAGCTTAGAGATAAACGTGGAAAATGCTTTGATTGGGAATCTGACATTTTTTCACGGTTTCAAACCGGTTAGATGATTGAATGTGTATCCAATCTGAATTGGGGTGGAGTTGGCAGCTTCTTGTTTAATCTAAGTTTATGATAATGGGGATATTATTATTATTATAAGTTTCTGAGTTGGTGTTTGGTCCTTTTGAATTTCAGAATGCATTCCCAGCACCAGTTTTGAAGAGTGAGAAGGCAGACCCAAAGAATGTAGCTTCTATCATACTGGGCGGAGGAGCCGGGACACGACTGTTCCCTCTCACGAGCAAAAGGGCTAAACCCGCGGTATAAACGTCTCGACCCTTTTGTTTTTGGACGTGAATTTTTGTGTATGTTAAGGCTTTACATGAACATGGTGATTGTTTGTTTATTGATGTGATGCCATTCATGTCATGGCACCATGATTCTTTGGATTTTTTTCGTTTAGGTGCCGATTGGAGGGTGTTACAGGCTGATAGATATACCGATGAGCAATTGTATCAACAGTGGGATAAGAAAGATCTTTATCTTAACTCAGTTCAACTCCTTTTCTCTCAATCGCCATCTTTCTCGTGCTTACAACTTTGGAAGTGGAGTGAACTTTGGCGATGGGTTTGTTGAGGTGATTATGTACTCATGGATCGTTGAATTGAATCTTTCCATAACTGTTGAAACTTGAATTCATGTGTCCTCTATGCCAAATTGTACATTTTTTTTTGTTGATCCTTTGAAATATTTAGGTTCTTGCTGCTACCCAAACATCAGGAGAAGCTGGAAAACGCTGGTTCCAAGGAACTGCCGATGCTGTCAGACAATTTATTTGGGTGTTTGAGGTTTTTTTCGTTTGTCTTTTCTTCGAAAAACTTGTCAGGTCGACTTAATATCGTCTGAATCTCCTGATACAGAAACTGGAAATGTATTTAACGGTTTTCTTGCAGGATGCGAAGACAAAGAATGTCGAGCATGTCTTGATCTTGTCTGGTGATCATCTCTATCGTATGGACTACATGAACTTTGTGGAGGTCAATCTTCTTATTCTTTTTCCATCAACATGCTTCACTTAGATTCCTTTTGGCTGTTTCCTGATTAAAAAAAATGGCATTTGTTTTATTGTCTCTTTGCAGAAGCACATCGAGTCAAATGCCGATATTACAGTTTCTTGTGTTCCAATGGATGACAGGTATGCCCGAGGATCTTTGTACTTTGCTCTTACCATAATGTTTTATTGACAAAATTCTTCTTGTTTATATTTTACAGCCGTGCTTCGGATTACGGGCTGATTAAAATCGACCAATCGGGAAGAATCATCCAATTCTCCGAGAAACCAAAGGGAGATGAACTCAAAAAGATGGTTGTCACTTTTATGTGTTTCGAAATGTTCGATCCTTTTCTTGCATTTTTTTTGTAACACCGTTTTTTTTTTTGCATTTTCAGCAAGTTGATACTTCCATTCTTGGTCTACCGTCGGAAAGAGCTGTTGAATTCCCATACATTGCTTCGATGGGAGTTTACGTGTTTAGAACAGAGGTTTTGCTAAAGCTTCTAAACTCGACTTATCCTGCATCAAATGACTTTGGTTCTGAAATAATCCCGTCAGCTGTGAAGGAGCATAATGTCCAGGTTTGTTTATATGTTCGATCCATGATCCATCCATATCTCTATTCCCGACCATTTTCAATTTTATTCAGTATATAAACTTGTTGCGTACGTTTGCATTGACTAAGGCGTATTTGTTCAACGACTACTGGGAGGACATCGGGACAATAAGGTCATTTTTCGACGCAAATTTAGCTCTCACTGAACAGGTTATTTCCATTCTTTGGAACCTATTTCAGGATCAGCAGATTTGCTATGATCCATCATTGAGCTCTGGATTTGTCGTTTATTTTTTCTTGCAGCCCCCCAAGTTCGAGTTTTACGATCCAAAAACACCGTTCTACACGTCCCCACGATTCTTGCCGCCTACCAAAGTTGATAGATGCAGGGTATAAATACATGCATATATACACATGGTTCTCGATTCCAATACTTTGCATTCTGAAGGGTTGATCTGTATAACTCTTATGTGGGCAAAATTCAGATATTGGATTCGATAGTTTCACACGGCTGCTTCTTGCGAGAATGTAGCGTTCAACGATCCATCGTGGGAGTGCGTTCACGTTTAGAGTCTGGGGTCGAGCTTCAGGTAAAACCCTCTTTATGTCTCGTCACTGGCAAAAACCCACAAGAGACTTGTGTAATGTTTCGAGTGCTTCAGGATACAATGATGATGGGAGCTGATTTCTACCAGACAGAAGTCGAAATCGCTTCCCTTTTGGCTCAAGGAAAAGTTCCGATAGGCGTCGGTCCGGACACCAAAATCAGGTAAAGCTCTATTCTGTACCCTACCAAACAGCGTTGTCATATAGAATCTTCTCTTATCTCTGTTTTTTTCTTTTTCTCGCAGGAACTGTATCATCGATAAGAATGCTAAGATTGGGAAAAACGTTATCATCACGAACGCCGATGTAAGACTCCTTGGGGAAACCTTAAATCAGATCTCATCGTGTTGGAATCTATGCCTGAAAGGTTTTTTGGGGGGGTTTTGTTGCAGGGTGTGGAAGAAGCAGACAGGGCAGAGGAAGGGTTCTACATAAGATCTGGCATCACTGTTGTCCTCAAGAATGCCACCATTAGAGATGGATTGGTTATTTAGGTTTTGATTAATCTTTTTCTTTTTCTTTCCAGGCTTTAAGATCCGTGTTTAAGATCAGTGAATAACGAAAGAAACCCATAGCTAATAAAAAGGCATGTGGATTTCATAGTTTGGGTTTTGTAGCCAAGAAAATCATTGAGATTTTACATAAATAGACATCATTATGTCAAGAGGTAACACAAAGCAATGAATGTCTGAAACATAGACGTCTTTCTCCATAACAATCGTTACAGTGCCTCTCAGATCATAAACCATTTGGACATCTGTGGATTAACAGAGTAAACTTCTGCGAAGAACACATCATAACTATTCCGACCAAATCAATTAGACGCCATTTCATAACTATAATCACTGCCAGCTGCAAAGATATCTAAAACCAAAGATGCTGAATAACCAACCCATAGCCTCCACATGTTCTTTTTTATTGAATCTGTCTTCTGCTGCTTGCTCGGCCCTGTTTTCGTTCCTAAAGAAGCAAACACCAAAAATAAGAGTTGTAACAACAGAACTTTCACCATGTTAGTTGCAACCCAAAACTCATAAAATATACCCTTACAGCTTGTGCCTGTGCTTGTTTTTGTTCTTTCTGTGTTTGACAATATCCTCACTTGTTTCATGAGATTCCTTCGGCTCGTTTAGATATATAAAGATAACAGCAATATGGCTATTGACCTCCTGGAACTCATTTAGGGCCTCTTTCTCCCTGAGAGGAGGAAAAGGATCCTGGCAGAGTGCTGTGAGGAAATTTGGAAATCTACGAGGAAAACCCTTTAATGGCAGCATACTGCAGAAAAACATGAGAAAACGTTAACAAGTTTCCGATAAAATGCCCGTCCTCAAATTATGTAAACCAACCATCATTATTTTTTCAACAATCAATCTTTTGGCACTAGAGAAAGGGGAAAGTTCATTCAATGGGGAAAAAGTCTGACGGTCACTGGGACTGTTCTAAGAGAAACTTCTTCTCATGGGTCAGATTTTTCACGAGCACCAACAGATTGGTAATACATTGCAGAACAGAAACAACTAATAATCTCATAAAAACTCGGCTCTTTCAGATTTTCACAGAAATATGACATCAGAGATTGCAGAACCGAAAAGAGAGAAGAGTAAAAAATCTCCAAATTTCATTCTATTTCGAGGATGGTTGGATTAACTATTCTAACAACTCTACATCATAATACTATAGACATATATATCGAGGTCAATTCCACTCTTTTTCAACGAGCAAAGCCTCGTCCAGTTCTACATCATACATCTCAAAGCATGTTTGCGCCAAGTCCAATGAAGCATATATTAGCAGATTACAGGTAGAAAACATTTTTAAGCGGTTACCAAAGCACAGCCAATAGAACGCAAAAGAATCCAGAACCACAAAACTGAGTTATATCCATATCAAGGGAAATCTTGGCAAGAAAACTTCCAGCATCGCATTTCTCATTCATCTGCAGCAATTCCCACCATTAAAAAGAACATCCAAACAATGATCATTTAAACAGCTAAACAAGCCTAAATCAATAATTGTTTTCAATGCTTCGATGCATTGCAAAGGATGGCAGATTATAGGTACAGCCGACCCGGTATAAAAATATCCATAGACCCACAAACTAAGGGTTGTATCAATGTGGTTCTGATGAAAATTTAAACAGCTAAAAGGGCCAAAACTCAGAACATAAGAACTCACCTCGTTGTCACACGACTTCCATGACTGAAAGCAACCTCCACGTTACGGCTCACCGAGAAAGAAGATCCAAAAAACTTTTCTCCAATCTCCCGTCCGATAACATATCAACAACCATTTCCATTGTTGAAACATGTGATGAAAAACTGTAGCTTCTCATTTCTCGAATAAGCTCGATAACAGTAGCAACATGGCCACCTTTGAGATGAGCTCGGATCAGTACATTATACGTACAATCATCTGGCATACAACCAACCTCTTTCATGTTTTTAAACAGCTTGTCAGCTTCATTGAGTATACCTTTTCCACAAAATCCAGTAATCATTGTATTGTACGTATTTACGTTCGGTTCAATCCCTTTATCAGAAAGTTTATTAAACAATCTGAGTGCCTCATCAACCTTGTCACCCTTGCACAAGCCATTCATTATAACAGTATGGACAAAGATATCGAGGTCAATCCCACTCGTTTCTAACTTGCAATACATTTCAAGTGCCTGATCTAGTTTTCCATTCTTACAAAGACCATCAAGCATTACTGTATAAGTTACAATATTAGGATCCACACCCTGCCTCTGCATCTCTCCAAAGAGTTTCTGGGCAACCTTGGGATTGCCCGCTCGGAAAAATCCTTGTATGAGAGTGCTGTAAGTACATGTATTACCGACCAACCCTCTTCGAGACATCTCATGTAAGAGTTTCATACCTTCATCCACCTTGTTACACTTGCAGTAACCATTTATCAGACAATTAAAAGTTACCACATTAGGAAAGCATCCTTTATTGATCATAGAATCAAACATTCGTCTCGCCTCATCAAGGCGATTCTGCATGCACAACCCATCGATCAATGAAGTGTAAGTAATAGTATCTGGAACTAATCCTCTTCGTATCATCTCTTCGTACAGTTCTTTGGTCTCCAAAAACTTACCCTCTTTAGATAATGCATCGATCAATCCATTGAAAGTGACAACATCAGGGCTGATTTTCCTTTTGACCATCTCATTCAACAATAGGACAGCACCTTTCCATCTACCAAAAACGCAAAGGCCGTTTATCAAACAATTGTAGGTGACAACATTTGGTACAAACCCTTTATTGTCCATCATTTCGAAAAGATTCAATGCATCATCTATGTGTCCGCCTTTACAAAGACCATCAATAATCGTATTATACATTATGACATTGACCTCAATGTTCATTTCCTCCATCTTCATGAGAAGATTCAAAGCCAAAGCAGAATCACCCGACTTGCAAATCCCATTGACAACAGCGCCATAAGTAACTACATTTGGTTGATACCCCATCTTTAACATCTTATCAACTAAACTCACAGCTTCAGAAACTCTCCCCTCTTTACAAAGTCCGTTGACCAAAGTGGTAAATGACACAACATCAGGTTCGTATCCCTCGTGTACCATTTGGTCAAACCAAATTAATGCCACAGAAAGCATCCGTTGTATACAGAATCCATTGATCAGGGTAGTGAATGTGACCACATCAGGCTCGTAACCCAGTTTTAGGATTTTCCCCAAAACCGAAAGGCCCAAAACCACTTGACCTGAGCGGCAGAAAGAGTTGATGAGAATATTCAAAGTGTAGCCGTTATGTGAAACCCGGAGCAATTCCATTCTCTTGCAAAGAGAAATCACAACATCATACCGTTTCATTTTGGCTATTGCAGTCAGTAATTTACTAAAATCAACAATGGGAGGCAAGGGACGAGTCCCAACCATCTGGTCGAACAAAGCAACAGCCTCACCGACATTACAATCATGAAACCCTAATCTCAATCTGTCTCTGTAGTCTCCAACACCAGAAGAAGCAAATCTCCGACAACTTAAAACAGAGGAACAATCTGAGAAAGTGTAAAGAGTACCTCTCCCGAGGCAATGATGAGTCTGAACCAAACTCGAAGCAGAAGCCAATGTGAAAGCAGCCATTCTCCTGACCATTCTCGCCATCTCAGCTTCGATTCAAAGGCAGGCAGATTGCGGTTCGGCTTCTTCTATAAACCCTAACCCTGGAAGCGGCGATTTGATTTGCTTCTTCTGTAAAATCAACAATGGAAGACAGAATGAGAAATCAGGCAGAGAGCGATCCGGCTTCTTATATAAAACCCTGATGGAATTGGCGGTCACAGCGAAAATCAACTTGGTTCGGATTTCTGTAATTTTAAATTATAGTAAAATAAATGTACCAATAAAATTCGATTTGATTACAAATCAGATCAAACAATTCCAAATCATATACACACATAAAACTTTAGTATCTATTTTTTTTTGCTAATTTTATGTTTTTTTTTGTAGGAATTCAAAAATTTTCAATATTAATATGATAATTATCTAGAAGTTCTATGAATTTTTAGAATTTTGTGTATAATTTTCCAATTTCTTTACACCACCAACAGCAAATTGTCTTGCACATACAATTGCGTATTGACGCGTTCAACACCACCAACGGCAAATTTCAAATGATTATAAACTTTTGAATTTAAAAATAAAAAGAGAGTAGTAAATTGATGTTTTCTTATGAGATATAGTTGTTGGTCCAATATAGTGGCAATAAAATGACCTTACATGGTTGACGACCACGTAATTAATTCCCTAAACTGCTATCTAATGGTACTGAAGATCCATTGTACCACTATCACATTTTAAGTAGTTTTTTTTTCTCTGTCTTTGATGATATTATTTGTTGAATATAAAAAATATGATCTGCAACTAATCTTTTTTTTTGATAATATAAAAGTTCAACTTTTGGTCCAACTAGATTTTCTAAAAAATCGAAAAAATACGAATGAATGTCACTCTGCATAATTAAATTTGAACTCGTGATAAAAACATAATTTACATATTTTGTTATTATTATACCATCCAAACTTGGATATAGTAACGTTGCTATGATGAATTTCAGAGGCATTAGTGTTGTTTCTTACTTCCAACAAATATAACTTTTGAGTATAAAAATATAGTAGAAAAACACTAAATTAATCAAACCAATCAAAATGATTGTTGAATAGAACCAATCTTTGTCGACGGTTATAATCAATTTTATTATTGATATTAACGGTGGATATTTTGATTAAGATTTGTTTACTTTTTATTTAGATTTTTTGTTTTGGAAAAAATATGATTATATCAGGTTTGATTGTATTCCAATTTTATCCCGAGTTCAATTTTTATTAAGAAAAATACTTATTTGTTAAAATTATATGTTATTTTCATTCGATTTTCTATTTGAATTTTATTAGGTTTGAGATATTGTAGCTTAATAAATATTTTTAATACAATATTTGTCTTGATCAGCCCATGTGAATATACTTTTATTAGAAAATAATTTTGATGAGTCATCACATAGTTAATCTGATTCTAAAAAATATATAATTTCGCGTTTGATCATTATTATTCTAATAATATTATTTATTTTCGTTATAACAAATACGATCTTTCTTTTATTAATTTGAAAAATATATTTATTTTGATGTTTTTTTAACTTTTAACTTTGTGTTTTTAACAGTTTTGTTTTTTTTTTCATTATTTTTAAGAATTTAGTTATTGATAACGTTTTTTGGGCCTAAGGGTTTTGAAATCGTTTTGTTAATTTTCCTAAAAAGCAGTAGCAATTTACTAATTATTAATTGGCTGAGAACATCGTCTCACAAATTTTAGGTTTTATTTATCAAAATATTTTGTTCTTTATAAGGATAAAATCCCGCTATTTTTTCCTATTTAGTCGCTCTGACATCACTATAAATATTACATCATTTTGTCGTATTTAAGACAACATCTCGCCAAAAAAATAAATAAATAACAGAAATACAAAGATACAGTAAATAAAAAAATGGAGAAACTGAAAATATACGCGGTGATGTGTATGATGATGGTGGTGATATCGTCGACGGTGACGGCGGAGGAGATTCCTGTGACGGCGGATCAGATGAATCTGGCGGCGGAGGCCGCCGCCGAGAGCTTCAAGAACAGCGTCGGAGACGTTGCTCAGGGCACCAAGACCTGGGTCGATTGGGCCGCCCAGAAAATGAGGTAACTTAAATTAAGTTTCTCTCTTTTTTTAAAAAAATTTCATAATTTCTTAATTCTTTCAATTGTACAGTGATTAATTTTCCAAAATATTTTTAAATTCGAAATCGAATGATTTCCTAAGTCTTTGTTGGTAATAAATTATCTTTGTTTGAATGGTGATATAATATTCAGGGAAATGGGCGGAGGCGTGAAGGAGTCGGAACAGTAACCAGCCATATCGGATATATATATATCGACGGAACTACATTATAGAAAAGGGATTATAGACCCCATTTAGTTAGTTGAAAAATATTAATATCTTTTTAAATTTTGTAAAATTATAAATAATATTATCAAATGCCCCCATAAAAATAAAATTTATATATATATAAAATTATATATGTATATATATATAATTATTGCCCCTTTTGTAAAAAAACTCTACATCCGCCACTATATATATATATATATATATATCAAACATCTAATTAAAGTCTTAAAAAGCCAACTGCAATTATTTGATTGACGTATAATCCTGTTTTCATAAGATTCTCGGCATATTCTCCACCCGCATACTCAAATAGATCAAACATCTAATTAAGGAGTATCAAATGTATAGAGTTCTATAAAAAAACACTTAACTTTTTAAAACACCTAATTTTATTTTATTTTTATCAAATAAACATTAAAATTTTTAAACGAATCTAAAAAAACACTTAACTTTTTAAGTGATCTAAAAAATACATAATTTTTTTATTATAAAAAAATATTAAACTTTTTTAATGATCCAACAAAAATATATTAACTTTTTTCGATTACAAAAAAAACTAAGAAAAATAATATAACGTGTTTGTATCTTATTGAATCACGTCAGTCATGTTATTTATTTTGACAATTGTTGAAGAATTAAGTATTTATTTGATCAAATTTAAAAAGTTTAATTATTTGATAAAATAAAAAGTTTAGTATTTTTTGTCAAAATTTAAAAGTTCAGTATTTTTTTTGAAAATTTAAAAATTCAATCGAATTCAGGAAATAAACTCAATTCAATCGAAGCATCTTTTATAAACAATTTTAAAATATAAACACCACAACTCGTATAAAAAAAAATCTCAATTTCCTATTGAAAGAAACATTATTCAATCCTCATTCCTATAGTTTCGCCAAACACATGCAGTGAACTTTTATTTTGATCTAACAAATTGTTGGTATTTTTAGAGTAAATGAATGGGGTTTATTAATAATCTCTCAAGAGATTCATAGTTATATGTATTACGGATATGGTGGAGGAGTTGAATGTTCGTAAATGATATAATATGGATCGGTGAAACACATAAGTGTTTGGCAGTAAAGTTGTTCGGTTTGTGAGTGAGGTATACCTCAACTCGGGTGAAGTAGAACTCAGTCTTCATGACGAAAACGAAATTTTCTTTACAGAAATGTAACTCGGTCCATGTTAGATTTAACTTGAACCGTGTTGATTGTCTGAGGAAAAATTCATGTTGCACAGAAATTTGACACGGCCCGTGTCAGGTGGAACTCGATCTGAGTCAAAAGTTTGTGAGAAGTACTTCATGTTGTGTCAAGTGTAACTCGGAACATGACAGTTATATACGAACTGATGCGATTCTTCGCATAATAACTGCAGATTTTGCAACTTTTGGTGATGTTCTTTGGTGTTTATATACTAAAGACGTCAGAATAAGTTGAGAACGAGATCTATTCTATTTTTGAGAGATTTTGAGAGCACTTTCGGAAGTTTCTTGCAAAAACTCTCCCGAAAGCTTTCGTTCATCTTCTTCTTCACGTTTCCTTGTCTGTGCGTTCTTGAACGAGCAATTCTAGAACGTTTTTCTCTTCATTGTATCTCAGAATCGTATTCCGGTAGTCCTTGCTCGTAACAGACGGAATAACGGTTTTAGGAAAGTGTCTACACGCCTTGAAGAGATATCCGGTCCCTCGGTTCGATTTCATTCTCTTTTTTCCGTTGTTTTTCCTCCAGATTTCTAACAATCTAAAACCGTTATCCACTCGAGGATGACATCTTCTGTGAGGGATTTGGCTATGAATTTTCACAAACTCGACAAGTTCGAGGGCGTGGGCTTTAGGCGGTGGCAGAAGAAGATGCACTTCTTGTTGACGATGCTGAATGTCGTCTACGTCATCAAAACACCCATACCGGAAGAGACCGAAGAGGAAACTTTAGCGCGGGTACGTATATGGAACAAATGGAACAACAAAAACTATGTATGTTGCGGTCATATTCTCAACGGTATGTCAGACGAACTTCTTCTTCGTTTGTTGTTGATGATTTCGATGTGTCTATGTTGTGGCATGCAAGACTAGGACATGTTCATTACAAGCGTGTTAACTTTATGTCGAAAATGGATTTAATTCCACCATGCACGTTGAATGATGGAAAATGTGTTACATGCATGAAAACAAAAATAACTCGTCATTCTTTTTCTAGCATAGAACGAAGTTCAGAAATGTTAGAACTAGTACATAGTGATCTATGTGACTTGCATAGTACACCATCTTTAGGAAATAAGAAGTACGTAGTAACATTCATAGAAGATTCTACTCGGTTTTGCTATGTGTTCTTGTTGCATTCAAAGGATGAAGCTCTTGAAAGGTTTAGAGCGTATAAATCCAAGGTTGAGTTACAACTCGGGGTTAAGCTAAAGAAGCTTAGGACCGATAGGGGAGGGGAATACTATGATCCTACGTATTTTGAATCTGTAGGAGTAATTCATGAGACTACCGCACCTTAAACAACACAAACAAATGGTGTAGCGGAAAGGAAAAATAGGGTCTTGAAAGAAATGGTTAATTCCATGCTTTCATACTCGGGTTTAAGTGAGGGTTTTTGGGGTGAAGCCATGTTAACGGCTTGCTATATTCTGAACCGAGTTCCATCTAAAAGGAACAAGGTAACCCCATATGAACTTTGGTACAAGCGGAAACCAAATCTGAATTATTTTCGGATTTGGGGATGTCGGGCGATAGTAAAAGTCTCGGAACCAAAGCGAAAAACTTTGGGAGAAAGAGGAATTGAATGTATCTTCATAGGTTATGCTTTACACAGCAAAGCCTATAGGTTCTATGTCATAGAACCAAATGACTACATAGCTGTTCACACGGTCATTGAGTCGAGAGATGCATTGTTCGACGAAAGTCGATTTTCTTCGGTGGATAAACCACCTAGTTCTGTACCTAGTTTGAGTGATCGAACAAACGATCAAGAGGACGGGCCAAGTGAACCTCGTAGAGGTAAACGTATTAGGAAAGCAAAGTCATTTGGTCCGGACTTTCAGATGTACCTGGTGGAAGGTACTAATGAGTCAATCGTGACTCAGCTCGCTTATACATATAATATCGAGGGAGATCCTAGGACGTATGATGAGGCGATGAGATCGCAAGATGTCGCGTTCTGGAAAGAAGCGATAAATGATGAGATGGACTCTATCATGAGCAACAACACTTGGATCTTAGTAGATCCTCCTCCGGGTTGTAAACCAATTGGTTGTAAGTGGATCTTCAAGAAGAAGATGAGAGTCGATGGAACTATTGATAAGTTCAAGGCTCGTCTAGTAGCTCAGGGCTTTAGACAAAAACAAGGTATCGATTATTTCGATACATATGCACCGGTAGCTAGAATAGCTACGATAAGATTATTGATCGCTCTTGCTTCGATCAAAAATCTTGTAATTCACCAAATGGATGTCAAGACGGGATTTCTAAACGGTGACCTTGAAGAGGAGGTGTATATGAAGCAACCAGAAGGTTTCCTCTTATCGGGTCAAGCACACAAAGTGTGCAAGTTAGTCAAATCATTGTACGGGTTAAAGCAAGCACCCAAACAATGGCATCAAAAGTTTGATGAGGTGATATTGTCTAACGGGTTTCGTCTAAATCAATCAGACAAATGCGTATATAGCAAGTTTGATGAGAATGGTCATGGGGTTATTATTTGCTTATACGTGGATGACATGCTCATATTCGGTACGGAATTAGAGCAAGTCAAGAAAACAAAAGATTTCTTGTCATCAAAGTTTTCGATGAAAGATCTAGGAGAAGCGGATGTTATCCTTGGAATTAGGATAATGAGAGATCACGGTACGATTTCACTCTCTCAATCACACTACATTGAGAAAGTGTTAAAACGTTTTGATCTCTACGATAGTACTCCGGTTTCTACACCGATGGATTGCAATGCTAAATTAGTAGCAAACAAAGGGGAACCAGTGTCTCAACTTGAATATGCTAGTGTCATTGGATGCTTAATGTATGCTATGACTAGCACTAGACCCGACATAGCATACGCGGTTGGTAAGTTGAGTAGGTACACTAGTAACCCAAGCGTACATCATTGCCATGCTGTACGGAGAGTATTTCGATACTTGAAGCATACCATAAATCACGGTCTTCGCTACATGGGTCAACCTTCGGTGTTAGAAGGATATACGGATGCGAGTTGGAACTCTAGTGAAGAGGATCATGCCTCGGTGAGTGATTGATTATACCTACAGTGAAACTTAAGTATACGATAGAGAATCCTATAAAAGGAAAGTCGACATATGTGCAAATGGAGTTTTCTTTTAGATATTCTATCATTTAATATTTTTTTCTTATAATCAGTTGCCTTGTTAAGAATAGAAATACCTATGATTTCGTGTGAGATTAAAACCGCTACAACCAATACACAGTAAAATGAGTAATATAGATGGATATTTAATTTTGGTTTTGCTAATAAAAAAATTAAAATTAAATTTGTTTTTAATGTAAACATAGTGTTAAGAGAAAGCACAAAAGTAAACGTTTGGACTTTGGATTCTGTCAAACCATGGATGTATAAAGAATACATGCTTAGATAGACAAAGGTTTTTTAAAGCTTTACAAATTGTCAAAATGTGGCCAAAAGATTTCAAACGGAGATGTTTTCAAAATGTCAGAAAATAATTTTATAACGTTTTTTATACGACTTGAGATCCGAATGTGGCCAAAAGATTTGACGTATCGAGAGATGTATGAAAGTTTAAAGGAGAGTGAAGAATCAAGATCTGCAATAACAAGATCGATAGAGGACACATCCATGGCAGGATCGCGTCAATTGCAGAGCACCGAGTGGAGGGGATGGAAGGATCGGAAAGACAAATGAGGTAGGTTTTTAGGTTTTTTTTTTGCAATGTCGACTTTAATTCTAAAATATGGATCGAAAATAGCGAAACTCATTTAGAATTCCATATAAAAGTCCTTTTATTATTTTACGTCGTCATAGTTCCTTTTTGTAACTTTGAAAGTCATTTGTATTTTTTATAAATTTTAAATTTTAATTGAAAGATTACTAAAAACAATTAGAGGAATCTCA